CCCGTGTCTCGGATCCGAGGGGTATCACAACAAGTCAACAAGGTAAACATGATTGTCAACTTGGAATTGAATGCGAAAGCAAATAGTGGAAGACTTGGACATCACGCTCAGAATTCTGCCGAGACCTCAATGGTTATTCCGGGCACTAACCCGCAGGGAAGACCACCCTAAGTGCGCACTATCTCAATGACTTAGAGGACTCACGTCTCCATACTAGAGCCAAACCCTAGCCATCTCAGCTCAACAATGTTCCAAGATTCCAAAATAAGCTAAATAAGTTCATAACTTATACATATTACTACTACATAGTAACAAGTTAGCAATATAACTCTCAATTGTGCATACTAAGCATTTCATATCCATAATGCTATGAAATCACAAGCCAACAGTATATTCATATTAGAAACATACTCTCATGAATATAAATATAACAACAATGCCCTTCAATGCATATAACACAATCAAGTGAATACTTCACAAGTCAAAATTCATGTTCCTAAAATAAAAGCGACTTCTAAAACATTATTAGATCCATGGATAAACAAGATAGAATTTAATTACATCAAAATAATTAAACTCTCTAGATTTCAAATCATTTCCAAATAGTCTCAATTTAATATATGATAAAAGACATATCATGGTCATTACATATATTCACACAAAAGCTTAATCAAGCCCATGAAACCATAAAATAGATTTTAATTAATTCTCTTAATTAAAGTCTCTAGATTTCCAAACTCAACCAAATGCTCTCAAATTAAAGTATGTTAACAAACATGCCAAAACTTAATTTAGAAGAATAATACAACTCAATTTCATGCAAGGTACGGCCATGAACTTTAATCTTTCACAAAAGATAAATATTAATTAAAAAGAGCAATTCTTATTTAATTAATCCAAATTTAATATATGTTAACCAACATATTAAAATAAGATTTTCTACCATGCCACAATTCAAATCAAAGTTATATATCATCATGAATTTTAAATCTTATACAAAGAATTAAAAATTACTAACTTTCTATATTTGATACAAGGTACACATATAAGTTGTATAATCATACTAAATACTCAATACAACACACACAAAAGCCTAAAACATTCCCTACCTCCATTTGAGCTGAAATCTCAAATCCCCATTTGAGATGAAAACCCAAATCCCCACCAAAATAAATCGGCTCTGAATCCGACGAAACTCCTAGGTTTTGTCGGGGACAACACCACGAACATGAATCCCAAGGAAGCCCCATCAAAAACACAACTTGACTTCAAACCCGAACTCAAGAAATGGCCAAAACGAGATTCCAATCGGTTGGAATCGAAGGCCTCGCCGAGGGGAACAACAAACATAAAGGCATTACCACTTTTTAATGAAGGGAAGAAGTTCAAAAGAGGAGAGAAAAGGTGGCAGCCATGGGAGAAGCTTGGACTGGCCATAAGAGAGGAGAGAGAGAGAGAAAAATCTGATTTTTCTTTCTAAGACCTCCTATTTATAGGAAAACTCAAAAAGTGCCCCGAACGGGCCCCGCCGGGTCCAGAAAAGTGAAATTCGAGCAGACGCACTCAAACAGCAAAACTCTATGAACAAAAAAGATTCCAAATGAGATAATATGAACAACGGAAGAAACGGCGTCAAAAACCGAGTCCCGTGCAGAAAGTTATGACCAAAACAAGTTTGGCACAAACTAGGGCCAGAAACCCTGAAACTGGAAAACATCGTCCAGGAGAAAATTCTAAGAGTTCACGACTCAACGAAATGTGAAAATGAATCCCATACAAGGATCCAGGCTCAAAACAAGGCATTGAGTAATAACTTTCATTAATTGCACAATGGCCCCTCCAAAAAGTGAAAATTACAAAACTGCCCCAGAATGAAAATATCTTCCAAAAGATATTTTCTTAGATACCCCTGAAATAAAATATCTTCAAAAGATATTTATAAAAAATACCCCAAGAAAAGAAAAAGTTTCCAAAGAACTTTTCATTTATGCCCCTATGGGTACCGGGAGCAACCAGAGTACTTTCTTACAAAAGTAAATATACGTATTTCGTGGAAACTACTTAAAATGAAGATATGTGAAGTCAAAAACCAACTCCAAACACAAGAAGTATGGTTATGGAAACGGAGTGACAAACGAAGAAAAGACGAAATAGGGAAAATGACGAAAAATGAATAGTATCGAAAAACGAAAAATGTGAAAATGACTCGGTCCTCAAAGGAAGTTGTCAATCCAAAGAAAAGAGTCTCGGAAATCACTTCAGAGCACTCGAGACGACACTAATCGACAAGAAACTAAACTCAGAAATGAAAAAATTTATCCAAAAAATCCGGGTCATTTCAAAACCCTTCTCGTTGCAATACGAGTCAGAAATCATTGATCGAAGACATCACCGACAAAAACATCATTGCTGACCATAGGATGAAGAGTACAAGATTAAAGAAAAGGGGAAAAGGGATGTGCACAAGGTTGTGCTAATCAACGGCTGACACGTGTTTAGTCAGTTTTTTTCAGGTGAACAGTATTTGGGCCATGTAGCATCACTCTATATTATTTGGTCAACTTATAAATTACCTTTTTGGTAATTAATTATTGGGGAAGTGTTTTCCTATTTATTCCTTACTTTGATGGAAAGTGGAATTAAGGTTACTAAAAGAAAAACTGGTCCTCTCTCTACCTTTAAAAGTGCATACATCCCATCAATTATGTATACTAATGAAAACAACACGTATAATATGTATGTGTGCAAAAGGCTTAGAGAAATAAATTGGTTTCTATGCTTTGGCTATTATTTGAACTTGCAATTTAGCACGTTGTTTATTCCGCAGAAAAGGTCTCGACGTTTGGCTTGATCTCTACGAGATTTGCAATTACAGATTGAGGTATTTATATTTAACTATTTGTTTATACATTATAGATATGTGAACATAATGAAGTTATAAGATCTTAAGATTCATATTTATTTGTAATTAATGTTTGGCACGAATAATTATAGTTTACAATATATATATATATATATATATATATATATATATATTGGCAGCAAAGCTACCGTTATTTGCGAGTTGGACTGTTTTTTATAAAAGTGAGCTCTTTCCGGGTTAAAAACAGTTTCGTCGAAATCATCCGAAAAACTGGTGAGCCCGCCTGTTTCAAATTGATTGTTCGTTACCAACAAAAAAAAAAGAGAATCGTGTATTGTACAACATTTTAAAACTAGAGGGAGGTTTAGTGCACTAAGGCCTATAAAAAATATACATCAATTCTTCTCTCGGGTTAAAATCACAAAACCCCCCTCTACTTTCAAAATCACATATAAAACCCCAATAAAATTAAGGGTTAAAATCACAAAACCCCTCTCTACATTCAAAATCGAGTATAAAACCCGAGTAAATTTAAGGGTTAAAACCATAAAGCCCCCATCTTGTTTCTAAAAACGTCATATTACCCCCTCAATTATCAAACAACCCCCTAAACTAACAAAAACTATCACATTATCCCATTTCCGTGACGAAACCGTTAACTTGTTGCAAAAAGGTAATAATGCCCTGGATAACATATTACTCCCTCCGTCCCATATTAATAGCCCATTATATTATTTTTTTGCTGTTCCATTTTAGTTGTCACATTTCAAAAATTAATACACTACTTTTTATTACATTCCCAATTGACCTCTAAAAGATTAAACTAATTAAAATTTCAAAATAAGTGGACCCCATTAAAAATAACTTTTCTGTACTACCAATGATAAATCTATCATTATGCATCTTTTCATACACTACTTTTTAGAGAAGGTCAAATTTGGAAATGCATCTTTTGCCAATCTAATAAAGTATAATAAAAGTTGTTGCCTTAAAAACTGTGAAATGTGGAATTGGACTATTATAAAGAGACAGAGGGAGTAATATTTTATTAAATTGAAATTATAGTATAAGATGGGAAATTTTGTCATTACAAATTACAAGGTTATTTTGGTCAGTAAAATGATGTGCACGTGATTTTCACGTGATAAGATCCCGTTAGTTTTAGACAGGAAACTAATGGGAAAGGGGCGATATGATAGGAATTTTTTTAAAAAAAGGGGTAATATGATAGTTTCTTTAGTTGATAGTTTTTTAAAACAAGAAGGAATTTTATGATTTTAGCCCTAAAATTAAAAAAACCATCTGAACTAACAAAACTTATCAAATTACTCCCAAACTTGTTACCGGCCATTTAAATGGGTTATGAAATGTCAAATTTGACTTTACTTTTTAATATTAAATTAAAAGGTACAATTATTATTTTAAAATATCAAATTTGACTCTGCTATTTTCTTAAATTTTATATTATTTTTTTAATTAACCCTTGGATTGCATTGAAAGTGTATCTTTGCCGTGTCCCAATTTATTCGGCCAGCAAATAAAATATTTGCTATTTCAGATACGTCTAGCTCGTATTCACATTTCTAGTAGGTGCTCGGTATCATTATGATATCTTCAGAGAAGTATTCGTGCTTCCTAGTCGATATGTTCAAATGTCCGATACTCTCACCACACATTCAGAGAAGTATGTGTGCTTCCTAGTTAAATTTTATAATATTTTTTAATCAACCCTTTGATTGCATTGAAAGTATCCAAATCATATCTTTACCGTCTCACAATCTTATTCGGTGAGAAAATAAAATATTTACTATTTAGGATACTTCTAGCTAGTATTCATATATTTAGAAAATGTTTGATACCATCACGACATCTTGAGAAGCATATCTATACTTAGTTAACATATTCGAGTGACCAATACCGTCACCACAGGAAAGATCCCTGCTTCTAGTTTCCAAATTATATAAATAGTTGGTTAGTTGGTAAAAAAACAAAAAAACAATTGTGGATCAACATTTGCCACGTGACAGAATGAGAATCATTTGATTTTTTTTATTTTTTTATTTTTTATTTTATCTATTTGTTATTATTATTATTATTATTTTGGAACACATATAATGGAATGGATAATAATCCAAATTGTTGGGAGTTTGGGTGGTTATGAATCGTAAATCACATGAAAGATTTCGCGGCTAACACGCGAGATAACAGCTTATTTCCCAGTGTTCTTAAATCTTGGCTATCCATGGCTGTCCAATGCAATTTTCTTCCCTCCTGTTATACCTACAAACGCACAATCGAATCCATGCCCTCATTATCGTCTACCCATTTCACCTCAATCCACAATACTCCACTTTGTATCAATTCCAATTCATTGCAGCTTTCAACACAAAGGTCCCTCTCCGTCTCTCTCTCACACACACACATAAACATATAAACATGTATATAACTAATATATTTTTAGCATTTGTGTGTGTATATATATTATACTCTGTGACACTCATTTACAGGTTGGGTAGGGTGGTTTCTGCTGTGATATCTGAAGAAAGCCCCCTGGGTTCGAGTCTTTCTAACACTGATCTGTTCGCACTCACTTATTTGGAGGTGGGTTTTTAATTAATCTCTTGTTCTGGGTTTTAGTTTCCCTTTGATTTTCTTGTATATTTTTATTAGCAAATTTTGGAATTTTGGTTTAGGGCAACAGTTGGCTGTGGGAGGTGGGTGGGTTGAAAATTTTGGTTGATCCAATCTTGGTGGGCAACTTGGATTTTGGTATTCCTTGGCTTTATGATGCTGCCAAGAAGTTCTTAAAGAATTTTCAGGTACTTTTATTGTTATATATGGATTTTGACTAGTGCTTCTGATGTATAATATATAGATCTTGTAATTGGCTTTCTTTTGGAAATTGTTTAGCTTTTCTTGATCATGATATGCGATTTCTGTTTCAGCTCACTGATCTTCCTGAGATAGATTGCCTATTGATTACACAAAGTCTAGATGATCACTGCCATATGAGGACATTAAAGCCACTCTCTCAAAAGCTACCAAGTCTTAGAGTCATAGCAACTCCCAATGCTAAGAAACTGTTGGATCCCCTTTTCAGCAATGTAAGTATTGTTGAAATCTACTTCTTTCGGCAATGTGATAGTTTTTGAGTTTTGCCTTGGATCATGCATTATGAGCATTCTCTGGACATACCCATGAATTTTTTTTAGAATATGCACATTGGCATGATGATGGACTCCACAAGCACTTTGATCCGTAACTAGTCGTCCAGCTCAGTTGTTTGTTTGTTTGGAACTTGATGCAGCATTGAAATCCTTGAAATTGATTTTATGCTTCAACATTCATGAACACTCACCATCTATGTGCATGAATGATGAATAAAAGAAAAAGTCTAGCAATTGGTTTACTAGGATGCATTTTAAAATTCTCACATAACTACGATGCTCAATATATGCTCTCTGTCGTTACTGTAGGCTTGCATCAGCTTTTTGAAAGCATAGGTCTTACTTATATAACTTGGAGGTTGGATAACTTTAGGTTTAAAAGAGTTCAAATCAGATTTCGAAACTGTTTTTTTGCAACTCTTGATGATGAAAGCTTCGATTGATCGAATCTAGTCCAGTGAGTCTCGATCAATCGAACTCCTAGTCCAATAAGGATTTAACTTTCTAAAATAGATTCATGCATTCCAAAACATGTTTTTACGGATCAAAACATGCGATTTAAAAACCCTAACATGTTTCATAATATAAATGAATGCATATGAATCCCAAATTGGTGAGTGCACAATATTGATAGTTGAATTTACCCTGTTGCCTTTGTTGAAGTTTTGAATTGTCAGATTTGCTCTTGGACAGAGGTAACTCTATTAACTTACCTAACTTTTAAAACATAAGCAAAAACTAAAAATCCAAAATAGGAACTCCCCTTTGAACGAAATTCGCCAACCAAAGTCCTATTGACCTCACATCCTTAACACTCTATACATCAGTTTGTGTATCCAACTGATGGAAGATAAATTGGCAATTGTGCTTTTGGAATTTGGGTTATGAGGAGTATATTGCGTACTGTTCCAGTATGTCTAGTACTGGTTCTTTAGCCTAGGAGGTAATATGCATGGACTAACATATACTTGGAGAACCGGGCTGCGCTCAGGGGTGTGTGTGTGTGAGAGAGAGAGAGAGAGAGAGAGAGAGAGCTGCAGCATCTTCAAGGATTCATGGTTGTTCACCTTGTATAGCGTTCCTAGAGACATGATGATCAATTGGCAGGCTCAAAGTCGATCACAATGCAGTGAGGCCTGCCAGCCCGCAGGTTTGAATCACTGGGCTTGCAAGCTGTGGCAAACATTGTGTCATAAACTGGCAATCCGTCTACAAGGATATATGCCCTATGCAATCCCCATGTGCTGGAGATAAGGTAGGCTCTCTAATTTCTAAAAATGTAGGATGCGTATTATCATCCCAAAAGGATGGGATGTGATGACTCCCAACTTCAGTCACCAATGTACTATGAGTTCCGAGAGCCAATACTCTGGTATGGTACCATAATGCCAATAAGCACCAGGCCATGAAAGATTCCTGGTCCTACTCCTGACCTAAGTAGGGCTAAGCGTCAAAATGTCGTCCCAGTAGACAGGCAGCAGTCCCCATCTTCCATTTAAAGGTTATGCAGTTTCGGCCCTTGCCCCCACAGTGATCAGTGTGCCTTATATTTATTTTGTCGAGGGATTGTTATGGTGAATGGACCAATGGCCTACATAATACCTGGGACATGTGGATGAAGGAGACACTGAATCATCCATGTGGTTAGTAGTCATTGGGAATTTAGTCAGTACACCCTAAACACGATGTCAATTCTTTCTTACGAACTGGAAAAATATTCTTAAGGTTGAGGACAATGGCAGGTAGACTCACGACTGCCATCTGCATGTATTTTGTTTGCTCTCCCTCACTGAATATAGAAATTCTTCTGGTTTGGTAATTCCATTTGCTACCTAAAATGTTAATTATAATTATCAATAGATGTTACCCCATAATAATCTGATTTCTTTCTGCTAAGATTTCCTGTTTATCCCCGAACTAGAAGCATGATGGACAAAAATCTCTTCTGGTGGGTATATGCTTAGATTTTAATACGTTGAGATATCTTCCATATCAGCCCAAACTTAGTATTGAAAATTTACAGGTCATATATTTAGAACCTGGTCAGAGTTCTGAAATTGAAGCAAACAATGGTTCTCGAGTTAAAATTCAGGCTACTGCAGGACCAGTTCTGGGTCCTCCTTGGCAGCGCCCTGAGAATGGGTACAGTTTTGTGCTACAATTTGCCAATGTAACACTATTTTTATCCCCGTCTCCTTCATTTCCTGACAAATATTTATTTCCCTTTATCAAATACGTGCTCCAGGTATCTTGTTGTTTCTCCGCAAGGCCAGTTGACACTTTATTATGAACCACATTGTGTCTATAACAAGAACTTTCTGGAGAAGGAACGAGCCGACATTGTAATTACGCCTGTTATAAAACAGCTTCTGCCAAGTTTTACGTTGGTTTCTGGACAAGAAGATGCAGTTCAACTTGCAAAGATGCTCCATGCCAAGTATAGTACTTTTTCCTTGATGTCGGAAGCTAAGTCAATATATTTTATAGAATTGATATTTAAGTGATTAGCTTTCTTGTAGGTTTATTGTGCCCATGAAAAATGGAGACCTTGACAGTAAAGGGCTTCTTGCAAGTTTAATTCAGTCTGAAGGAACAATTGAATCATTCAAGGTTTGATTTCTGTTATCAGTAAAAATAGGTTCAGGTTAGATTTCTTTTAATTGAAGTATAGGAGTACTATGTGAACATTAATGCAGTATAAATATCATAGTTCCTTTAATCTGACTAATGCATACAATGTGATGAGGTATGTTGAGCCACCTTATTATAAAATAAATGAATAAATAATTCTTGCACAGTATGAAGGAATTCATATAATTACTTATCAAAAAAAAAAAAATAAAAAAAAAAAATGAAGGAATTCATATAATTAAGTTTTGGTGAACTTTCGAATGTGTCATTACAAAAGTATTGCATTTTTCTTGTGTTTAAGACATTGTGGTAGTGAATGCTTTCTAGAATCTATTCCCTATATTTCTTCATCTTCCATAACAAATAAAAAGAAGTTAAAACTTTAAATTTAATTTTTTGCACATGCAGGACTTCTTTTTTAAGTATAGCCTTGGTATAAGCCCATCAATTACAATTTATGACTTGAATACAAAAATTACAATGGGAATGTATAGTATAACATGACAGTTTATAGATAAGCTTGATGCAAAAGAAATAATTGGTAAGAAAAAAAAAAAAAAAAAATTCTAGGCTGAAACTTTGCCCTCTAGCTCTTGGGTTGGAAAGAAAATTTCTAAAGCTGAAACAGTGTCAGTGACAGAATCAGATGCCATGTTGGAAAATGGTAAACAAAATCTTATTCCTTCTGATGCAGTCAATAAGAAGCTTAAGAAAAACAAATTCTAAAAGGAAGAAAGTATGGAAAGTTGCTCTGTCTAGTGGACAAGGTTTTGAATGTTCTACTTCCTAGATTCAGTGTGAGGAAAAATATTGTTGGCTGGGAACTAGTAATGCGCCAATCTCTTATTAATTTACTACTTGGAAATAACAAGAATATACACGAGTTCACCCTTCTCATATTGGTACTAACTACTAAACCAGTCCCTATAGAAGATAACTTAATCGGCTTTTATTAAGGAATCAGTTGTCTGTAAGGAGCTAAGTAACAGGGGGTTGACCATTCTAAGAATGTGACATTTGTGGGTATAAAAAAAAGAAAAAACGAAGGAAAAAAAAAAAAACAAGAGATTTTACTTTGAAGTCCCAAGCTTTTCAAGTTCTTTCATGGAATAATTCTTGTCCATGCCCAGATCAAATTCTGTAATAATTGGCTAGTGATTGTTTAAGTCATTAGGAAGAGTGAAGATCTAGTGGATCTGAATTCATTTAAGGATAGTTCATATGCTTCCACAAAGGCTAGAAAGAGGACAAGCGTTCTTAAGAATTCTACGTATTCAATAGATTTGTAAGGCCACAGTTACAATGCTCTAGAATTACTTGCTGGTACACCTTAAGATAGTATGAAGAGTTGGAGTGCATTTGATGAGATCCTGTCAATGAACCATGGGGACAAATTTGACACATTGGTCCAAATCAGAAGTGGGAATAGTTTGTGCAAGTTTTTGTTGGTATCATAACAAGGTCAAGAGCTGGTTTTCATCAGGCATAGTGTAGGGGATGTTAAGGTGTTCACATCAAGTATATTACAACCAGAAAAATGGGTTGTCTATTAGGATCTCTCTCTTTTGTTTAAGCACATTGACAGGAAAACAAATGAGGCAGTAAATCTGTTGAATATTTGGGACATTGAGCAAAGGAAAATGTTGATGTAAAGGGAAGGTCCAGAAAATATCATAAGATAAGGGGAAAGTAGAGTTAAGGGTATTGTAGTTATTCGGGTAGGAGTCTGATTTAGAAGTTGTCTAAAAACATAATTATGTTTAACACCATTCTATATGGTGAATAAGTAGGGGTAATGTTCAGAGGTCCTGGTAGTTGGAAGTATTGGCATTGCACAAGGGAGGTCTTTTCCATTTGAGTGAGTTGTGGGTTTCTTGCTCATGGATACACAGTCCTGCAAAAGGTAAGGTCTTTCTCTGGCCATACACCATCCCCGCTATAGACGCTAGGGGAAATTTCCATCCTCCTTTGGTAGCTTTCCTCTGCTTGTTTAATTGGTTCAGTTTTCCATTTTGTTTGTGTAAAAATGGAGATTTGTATAGAAAGAGAAGAGAGAGAGAGAGAGAGAGAGAGAGAGAGAGAGCTTAGACCAGAGAGTTTGAGGCGCAGCCCACATTTCTCATTTCTTACTTTAACCCTAAAACATAAAAGGGGGTTATATACAATACAAGAAAGGCCTATTTACATAATGGCCACAAACCCTATATCTAATTACAATAGGACCCCAGCATAAATACATATATACATATAAGTGTTTTAACACTCCCCCTCAAGCTGGAGAATATATATCATATAATCCCAGCTTGGAACAAATCGTTTTTAACCGATTATGACCAAGAGCTTTAGTAAACATATCAGCTAATTGATCTTCAGACTTCACGAATGGAGTATAAATGTTTCCACTCAATATTTTCTCTCAAGTGAAGTGACAATCAACTTCAATGTGCTTGGTTCTTTCATGAAACACCAGATTGGATGCGATGTGAATAGCTGCTTGGTTATCACAGAACAGTGGAATAGGAGTCTTGACTATTAACCCAAGTTCTTCAAGAATGTTGTATCCACGTTAACTCACTAAAGGTATGGGCCATCGCCCTGTACTCTGCTTCAGCACTAGACCGTGCTATAACTGTTTGCTTTTTACTTTTCCATGTAACAAGATTTCCACCAACAAATGTACAATAGCCTGTAGTAGATTTCCGATCTGAGGGAGAACCCGCCCGGTCAGCATATGTGAAACCTGTCACATTAAGATGACCATTAGGTTTATATAGTAATCCAAAACCTTGAGCTTGTTTGATATATCAAATAATTCGAAGAACAGCATTCCAATGTGGTACTCTAGGAGCACTCATGAACTGACTTACAATACTAACTGCATATGAAATGTCAGGTCGGGTGATAGTGAGATAAATTAATTTCCCAACTAGACGTCGATATCTGCCATGATCGTCAAATAAATCACCCTCATCAGGTAATAATTTTATATTTGGGTCCATAGGAGCATCAGCAAGGCAAGTACCTAACATACCTGTTTCTTTTAACAAGTCCAACACATATTTCCTTTGAGATAGACTTGTACCTTCCTTGGATCTAGCAACCTCAATACCTAAGAAATATTTGAGTTTACCTAGATCCTTTGTGTGAAATCGATTCTGTAAGAACAATTTTAACTTTGAAATGCCGTCAGAATTATCACTTGTTATAACAATATCATCTACATATACCACAAGAAATATAAAGCCAATTTTAGTATGTTGGTGAAATACTGAATGATCTGTCTGGCATCTGTTAAGGCCAAAGGAGAGTACCGCCTCGAAGAATTTTCCAAACTAAGCCCTTGGAGATTATTTCAATCCGTACTGGGCCTTTTTAAGACGACATACAGCATAACGAGACTCCCCCTGAGCAACAAATCCAGGTGGTTGCTCCATGTAAACCTCTTCATGTAAGTCACCATGTAAGAAAACATTTTTCACATCGAATTGAAACAACGGCCAATTACAATTGGCGGCAATGGAAATAAGGATTCGGATAGAAGAAATCTTCGCAATAGGGGAAAAAGTCTCATCATAATCAATACCATAGGTTTGTGTGTATCCCTTTGCAACAAGGCGAGCCTTCAATCACTCAACAGATCCATCATGGAGATATTTGACCGTGTAGACCCACTTACAACCAACCGTTTTGGAACCGGGAGGTAAGCGAACAAGGTCCTATGTCCCATTATGATGAAGAGCATCTATTTCATCTATCATGGCTTTGCACCAAGCTGTATTAGATAGAGCATCCTGCACAGTTTTCGGAACAGCAGTAGCAAATAACGTGGATAAAGGTGGGGGGGGGGGGGGGGGGGGGGGGTGGGGTACTCATGATCGACGACTATACACTTGAAGTGGCGGTGGCACATGAGGTGGTTGTGGTGGGTCACAGGGTAATGAATGTGACACAACAGGCAACGGAAGCAGCAGCTCGGTATCTAAAGACAAACTATTTGAATAAAAATAAGGAGTATCCTAAAAAAAAGGTAACGTCCATGCACACAAAAGTATTACGAGTGCTAAGATCCTAACATTTATAACCTTTTTGAGTCTGAGACTATCCAATAAAGACACACTTAATGGCACGAGGAGACAATTTATCAGTGCCAGGGCGTAATATGTGAGCAAAACACACACACCCAAAAACACAAGGCGGCAATGCAAATAACGATCGAGTAGGAAAAACAAAGGAATAAGGACATTTTCAATTAAGAACGGAAGATGGCATACGATTAATTAAATAACAAGCAGTTAAAATAGTATCGCCCCAAAATGCTTTTAGAAGATGCATATGTATCATCAATGTCTGAACTATTTCAAATAAATGCCTATTTTTCCGTTCGGCTACGCATTTTGTTGAGGAGTATAAGAACAAGAAGTTTGGTGCAAAATACCACAAGAGTCGCAAAAACTAGAAATAACACCTTTGACATATTCCATAGCATTATCAGATTGTAAAGTGCGTATAACACACCCAAATTGGACAATTTCTTTTAAAAATATTTGAAATATGGAAAAAATTTCAGAATGGTCTTTCATTAAAAACAACCAAGTCATCCTTGAATAATCATCAACAAAGGTACCAAAATAAGAAAAACTTAAGTGACTAGTGTGACGAGCAGGACCCCAGTTGTCCGTATGCACTAATTCAAATAAATAAGATTGACGATTAACGATACGAGGAGGGAAAGGCACTCTATAGTGCTTACCCAACTAACAAGACTCATAATTTAAAGTAGGCACCGACTCAAGGAAAGGCAAAGCAGACTTCAAATACTACAACGAGGGATGACCTAACCGATAATGCCACTGGTACACAGACATCTGGGAATGTAAAGCAACAGTGGAAGGTTTGCAATCCAAATAGTATAGGCCATTTCTGTTATGCCCCCACCAATCGTCTGTTTCGTGTTGAGGTCCTAAAAGACACAAAACGAAGAATAAAATGTGACAAAACAATTCAGTGCTTGAGTCAATTTACTTACAGATAATAAATTAAAGAGAAAATTTGGAACTAATTGCACAGAGGATAAAGAAATGGATGGAGTTAATTTAATTGTTCCCTGGCCAATAATGGAACATGTCCTACCATCAGCCAGAGTAACAAAAGATGAGGAACTAGACTTCTGAAAATTAAAAAATAGAGAGGCATCACCTGTGAGATGGGTAGAAGCCCTAGAGTCAATAATCTAAAGGGATGTTGAAGTCTGTAAATCGGACAAGCATGCAATATTACCTGATTGCGCAAAATTAACCACATCAGTAGAGTTAGGACGTGTCCGGTTGACCAATGCACTGAACTAAGCTCGTGATAATGATAGTGTCACGGTGTCACTAGTAGATACAGGTGATGATAATACAGAAGTCTGACCAAGAGCGTGATGAGACCCCGCAAGGGCAGAGGAAGACACTGCTTGATTTACCCATGCTGGTTTCCATAAAGAGTCCAACAGTTCTCAACAAAATGGTTAGTACCCCGACAGTGGCTGCAGATGCAAGTATCACTACGTCCACGACCACGGCAACTGAGACGAGAACTACCCTAATTTCCACCATACCCTCTGTTGCCACTAGGAGTATCACCTGAATTTCCACCATACCCTCTGTTGCCACTAGGAGTATCACGACCTCTAGAGGACTGTGGAAAAATAGAAGGAATCATCATAGCTGAATTTTCTTTCACTCCAGTGGGTGTCACATGTGATTGTTCTGAAACCTGAAGTAAGCAGGAATAAATGTTACCCAAAGATGGGAGTTCTCCATCACCGGCAAGGATCCGATCTCGAATATTATGAAGGCTCGGGTGCAAACCAGCAAGAAAAATGGAAACAGAAAATTCCTCACATTGTCGCTTGAGAATGTCAGGATCAGTAGTCAAGGGATGGTACTGATTCAACTCATTTAACAGGCTTTTGAAAGTACTGTAATACTCACCGAGGCTTTGACCAGAGAAGTCAGATTGACGAGAATGGAATATCTTTTCATACAATGAATATATGCGAGAAACATTCGTGTCCATAGAGTAAGTTTCTTTAACTGCATCCCAGATTGCCTTTGCAGTGTTGACAAACATAAAAGTGGATGCAATGGAAGGTTTCATACTGTTCCACAACCAGGACATAACCATATAGTTATCAGTTTCCCAATCCTCATATGTTGCTGATGTTTTTGATGGAGGATCAGTTGTAATAAACTTCAGCTTTAGTCGCGCACCTAAAGAGAACTTTACTACTTGAGCCCATAGTAAGTAATTGGAATTACTTAATTTCATAGATGTAATTTGCAGCCCGACAGGATCAACATGTGTTGCAGAAGATTTAACTCCAGTAGACCCAGAAGCAACATTTCAATCATCCAACATGGATATATGAATATGTAAAAAAGAAACTTATTTGCGTTGAGTTAAGATGCCAAATCTATATCAAAGAACCAAAGAAACTGTTGCACCCGAGAAGGCCAGAACAGAGTTGAACCGAGAACAGAAGAAGACTCGGAGCAGAACAGACCCGGTCAGTAAATCGGGTCGAACGGGCCGGACCTTAAATCGGGTTGAACTGTAAATCGGGTCGGAACAAATCCGGTTTATGTTAACCTGGATTGGGATAGCGAGAACCTTGTAGCCAAACACCGTTGTTCTTTACAAAATCTTAGTTCTCCAGCAAGCACGCAGCGGCAGCGGCGACGGCAATGGAATCAACAAGTTGTGACACAACTCGCGACAGCCGCCGGTGACCAAGCAACGAGCAGCGACGACGAGAGAAGGCGGTAAGTTCAATGAAACGGCAACAACGCGAGCAACCAAAATGGGCTTCAGATCTGAGACAAAGCAACGAGCAGCGACGATGAGAGAAGGCAGCGAGCTCGTCGACAACCAAAACGGCAACAACTTCACCACCGTCACGAGCTCTGAACAGATCTATACAAGAACTATACAACTGCAATTTCCCACACTCACAATTTTGATCCGCTCTGATACCATGTAAAATGGAGATTTGTATAGAAAGAGAATAGAGATACAGAGAGAGAGAGAGAGAGAGAGAGAGAGCTTAGACCAGAGAGTTTGAGGCGCAGCCCACATTTCTCATTTCTTACTTTAACCCTAAAACATAAAGGGGGGTTATATACCATACAAGAAAGGCCTATTTACATAATGGCCACAAACCCTATATCTAATTACAATAGGACCCCATCATAAATACATATATACATATAAGTGTTTTAACAGTTTGTGAAGGATAGCTCGTCTTTACCTTGTACAACTTCCTTATCTTTATAAGTTATCTTCATTTTCTAAAAGAAACAACAATTATTATGTTTAAGCTTTTCTTGTTTTTGTTTTATTAACAGTTTATGCTTTTTTAGGTTTTCCGTATCAAGAGTATGTTAGTAATTCTGTTTTAGGATGTTGAGTATCCTGCCATTATGGTTTTTTTTTTTTTTTTTGTAGTCAACTTATGTATAGAGGAAGTATCCATTTGCATGTGGTTTAACATTTTGTTCTTATATTCCTTCGTATTCTTTTCTGTGATCACATTCACTGAATTAACTGCTCTTCCTATGAAAATCATATTTGCAATGTTTCAAGTCAATTGAAGATCAACTGATGTGATATTTATACACTTGAAATCATATCAAAATATAATTATAATCTCAAGCATGACATGGATGCTACTTTCCAACAAACTTGACATTTGTTGAGCAGAACGACTACAGGAAGAACATTCAATCCTAGCGAAATGTGAGTCACACAAAAATTACATGGATTGCCATTCTACTAGTGAACTTGCTACCCATCTGCGAATCAATAAAACATAGATTTTTGATGCTCTGGGTCATTGGATGGGTCAAAGTCAAATTCAGTTGGTTAAGTGTGTAGACCATAATAGACGTGAGCGCACAACGTTATTTCACCCTCTTGAAGAGCAAAACTAGTGGCGCGTCCCCAATGCTAAAATTTGAAGGTCATAATATGTGAACCTAAAACAATGTTGGAACACACCATCTAAGAAACTACAACCTAGTTGCATCAATTGGATGCTTTAATTTTTACTAATTTTTTAAAGTCAGACCATTTTTATTAAATACATATTTCCTTCAAGTCAGTTGTTATGCATATATTGGAAGCTGTGCATCCCCAAGTAGTTGGGAAATGGCTTTGTTTATTGTTCATTTTGTTATTAGTTAATCTATGTGTATTTAGATATTATGTGTGCGTGTTTATAGGCACTCTAATGATACTCCTTCTCTTCTAAGTTTTAAAATATTATATATTCAACGGTCTCGCTCTTGCTTCCACTTTTGTTCTGTGCTCTAGTTAATTAAGAGTGTTCCACTAGGTGTAAACCCTTATTATGAGGTTTTATTTAATAGCTGGTCTTGTGGGTTAAAATAAAAGTCCATGTCGGATTCCTTGGCCACCAAATTTCCTTGGCTTCCAAGATAGAGCCCGACGTATTAGCTGTTTTTGGAGCAGTGAATGAAGGCATGATTTATAGCCTGTTCCTTGTGATGTGTGATGTATCTTCTTCTCTTAGGCATGTCAGCATAAGAATCTAGGTGCGATTGCCTTGGACTTTCTTTCTTATTGTCTCCTTCTCTTATCCTCAAGTTCTCAATCTTTCAGTAGATATGTCATAATCCTTTTAAGATTGCCAGATTGATGAAAATGTCTTATAAATATAATTTACATAGCTATTGAAAGCAATCAGATTTGTGTGCAGCGTTGTGAAAGGCGCACCTAGGTGTGCGCCTAGGCTCCAAGCTCATACAGGCGCAACACTCATGCCTGTTGTGTGCCTAGGTGCGCCTTTAATATGGAATATGATTATGCTTTAATAGTAATTAAAATTTTCCATTGTGCGCCTTGCTTCACTCAGGCTCGTGCCTCGCCTTGCACCTAGGCTGCAAAGGACCTCTAGCGTCTTGAGCCTTTGATAACACTGTTTGCGTGCGTGTAGTGATAAACACTCAATTATAGTAAAGATTCACTTATAATCTGTCTCCTGCCAAGCTAGTTTGCGTTTGGGCGTGCTGACCGTCTGTCTCTACAGCTTCCATGGGATAATTTACTTCCTCTTTCTTTTATCACAGCAGGCTCTTAACATAAAATTTTTACGAAGTGATTCGTGGAAAAATTGAATGCATGTCCTTGTTGGCCCAAAATTTTACCATCACATCAAACAATGATCCCTTGATAAACTACTTCTCTTACTCGGAATTACTTGCGGATTTAAGTAGTGTTCCAGATTTCTTGGTTATTGTAAAAATGGCTTGTAGAAGAAACATGTTTAAGCATGATAATAGAATCAATAATCTATATTAATTTGTTCAACAATCCATTTGACTTGCTAATGTTTTACAAATAATTGCGAATTCATTGTTTTGTTATGCAGGAGCTTTTGTTGAAGGAGCTGCCAGATACAGAACTACTGGCGCCAATCCCTGGTGTACCGGTAGATATTTCAGCTTCTTTAAATAGACCATAGTGCAAAAATTACAATGTTTATGGGAATACAAATTTCACCCATATTTTGTATATTTCCATGTCAGCTTAGATATATGATGTGGACAACATTTTAAGTTCAATAAGTCCGTTTTCGACCAAAAAGTATTTTTTTAATTTTTTATTTTTTGTGTGGAAATGGCCCACACCTTGCATTCGATATAAAATAGTTTTATAATAGGGAGTTGATATTGGCCCTCCACTATAATTTTTAGGCGCTCCACTTTCTCTTTCTTTTAAAATGGAATTACAAAGGAGCCCCTACACCATAGAAGGTTTGGTTCTTACCTTTTATAATACGATAATTGCCCTCTTCGTTAGGGTTAGGATTTATAGCACCAAATATAGATTTTTTTCAACTTCTCTCATTCCATCTCTCCGTGCAAAAGCAAAAAAAAATTGGTAGATCTCGCCCATGAAACTCAAATTCTGTAATTCAACCCTTCTAATGAATCACGAACATGCATATTTATTTGGACATTGTTCAACTGTCTCACTTCTGGGATGAGGTCTGGTATCCAAGAACATGCAGTTCGTGGCAGATTTTATATTATAATATTTGAGAATGGATTTTGGAGTTTTTTTATTTTTCCTGGCAACACCAACACGAAGGAAAAAACAACAAAGCTAACAAACACTATCAGCAACATCGAACTCCAGAAGGCTAAAGAGGCAGTGAATGAAGCACCAAATCCGCGTTCATATCATGCCTTGAGAGCCGCGCAAGAGCATGCGCCACCCGATTACCTTGCCGTCGACCATGCGAAATCGAGAACCCCAAAAAAAGTTGAAGTTCATTACGGATATTAGGTACCATTGAAGCATTTGCAACATCACTATAGCCAGCCCCTTCGATGGAATCCACCACCAATTTAGCATCCGACTCAAAGCATACAACTCGAAAATTAAAAACTCTGGCCCAATAAACAGCACGGCAAAATCAAAAAGTCTCTACCTCCAGCATAGACGAGGAAGCAAAAGGATTAAATATCACCGGTTGAAGAACAGAGCCAGATGAGTTCCGAAACACCGCACCTCCACCTCCCAACTGAGAAAGTTTCAAAAAGCTAGCATCAACATTGCATTCAATAACACCGTGCAAGGGACAAGTCCAGCGAGAAGGGGATTCTATCTGCTGCGATTTGGAAAGGAGCTGCTAGCATTTCTTCTGCACATTTACAAATTCCCAAAATCGACTCGTAGCTAAACTTGCGACCAATAAAGGAACCTATTATGAGGTACGTGGTGAAGTCAATCCCTAAGATCTTCTCTCTCTAATCTCATTCCTTTATTTAGTTTAATTTTATTTATGCTAGTGACACACACCAAATCAAACAATGTTCTTCTCTAAATTAAAATAGAATTAATTGAAGGCTTGATAATCTACCATAGTCCCTAAGGTTCGACACTCTCTAAGTAGTCCTACCCTGCAAGGGATTCGTTCTATTGTGAGTGGTAAATAAATAGACAAATTAGTGTGATCTTCTTATTGTTGATTTTTGGGGTTTTTGAAGATCCAAACAAAGCTTTCTCAAGAACATAGTTCAGGGTGCACGCCAGGTGTTCGACAAAATTCCCGAGAGAACTTAAAAGCTTCAAACCAAAATTCTTTGTGAATCAAATGGCCCCGAGAATCTCTAAAGAGGCCAAGGGAAAAGGAATTGCGGTTCCAAGGGCTCCAAAGAGAGCGAGAACCGGCATCTCTATCCGTGAACCTCAAGAAGGTTCAAATGCTCCTAGGGACACTCCATCGTCTCCAATAAACTCGGGCTCTCCTATTATTGAGGTACCAGTTGGGTATCCATCAGTTTCTGCTACCGGGAAGATAGAGTTCACCCGTGATCACTTCTATAATGAGCACCCTTAGAAGGCGTACACAAAAATATATGCCACTAGTGTGAAGATAAATGAAACCATCCCACCGAAAAACCACTCGGAGCCTAAAGAAAGAAGAAAACTTAGTCTACAAGAAGCTGGCAGAGCTTTAGCCATTGGACCACAGTAATCTATACACAATAAGCCTTTTCTTTTTCTTGTTCGTCTGGGAGAAAGTAGCTGGATGGGGGGTTCCTTATTATAACCCTTTCGAGTTGTTAATAAGCCAAGGGAACATCATATCTCACATCTGAAATGGATACGTGATTGAATAATGATCCGGCCTATTCGGACCAATCCACAACTGACCTATAGTACCTTACCAATATAGGAATAGCTATGTCTGCAGAGAAGGCTCAAGCTTCTCTTCCTATCTTTCCGTATTTCTTTATATAGATCTAATTCTTCATAAGTGAATGAGCACTTAGTTAGCTTCCCTTATTTACGGTGAATTTCTTGCAAGAATCTTCATTCAACAAACAAGATTCTATTATTGTTCCAGTGCACCTTAGCACAGTATCTCAAAAGGCGATCAAATCCGAAAGGAATGTGAATTTGAAGAAGCTCAGGAATAGTACGAGACATAAACTTGTGGCATACATTGAGAAGAACAGTTGGCTTTCCTTCACTACCATGGAGCACAGCTTCTCTCCTGACATGGTACACTATTTCTACTCCAATATCCGTCGAGTTCATGATGATGGATATTTTGAGATTTCTATATTTGGGACTGACTATCGCGTGAATGAAGATGTTATCTATGGCATCTTAGGCGTTCCAAAGAGGGTGAGTAGTATTGGCTATATCCTACCTCTTATTGAGTTAGGGCCTAAATGGCAAGAGATCTATGACACTTTGTGCATTCTAGGTCCTCTGAGATTTGCTGACCACATCCCATCTCATTATCTCACTGATGAGGCAGCATTTCTTAATTTGTTTGACATGGCCAATCTTGGATATTTTGGGAAGAATGACGCGATTGCTTTATATCGGGCTCAGGTATTGTATCTTCTTACTATTAGAGCAAAGATTCATATTGCCCTTTCTATTTTGAATTTGATGGTTGCTCACTACAAGAGCAATACCAAAAGGAAGTCCTCTTCGTTCCCTATGATCATCATGGGACTTTATAGGAAGTTTCAGATTATGCTTCCCACAGAATTTTTCCAAATTGGTTTAAAACCTTTCTTCATGATTATGTCAAGTGGGAACCAGTACCAAACTTGGGAACCGGTTCAAGAACCATAGCTTCGAAGAAACCATTTTGTCCTTTGAGAACCGGTTCCAAAGTTGGCTACCGGTACCACCTGCTGATACAGTTTAGGATTTCAAGTTTCTTGTTCTGTTCAAACTTCCTACTTTGGTTTAGAATACTACCAAAAGTCCTACACACGAAAATTACCTTTTCTTATACATATCTATGTCTTTGAAAATTCTATATAAACCTTTATATTCATCTAGGTCGATACGGCTTTTAATTTGTACTACAACTTCAGAATTTCTAAAAGCCTATTAGAGAGATATTTTTGCAGAAAATCAAATCTGATTTTTCTGTCATTCTTTCTAGAACACAAACATAAACACAAGAGTAAGTTTAGATTGTTGTTGATCAAATCCTGATCGTGATCAAAGTCTTGCATTTACAATGATCAGAAAACCAAATCTACTTCTTCTACATCAAATCCAGATCCTGAAGAACATAGATGAAGCAATCACACTTTGAAAGAGTCAAAGCATTTGAGGAATGTTATTTGATCTATCAACAATCCTTCTACAGAAATCAAGAGTAAGCCTGAGGTCAAGAGCTGTTGGACAAGACGTCGCAAAGCTAGAGGATTGTCAACGATTGGTGTTTGGTAGAACGATAGAGTGTTAGCCTGAGTCAAAGTTCATTGTACTTTGTTTCAAGCATAGTGGATCGGTTTACTTTGGACTACACAGTCCACGAGGTTTTTTCCCGCGCAAACATTGGTCTATTTTACCAATTGGGGTTTTCTCACTAAAAATTCTGATATCATCTCTATTACTTTACTTTATTTAATTTTGTATGAGATTAATTGATTAATTGCAAAAATAGATAAAGTTAGAAAGGCATAGATCTGTTTTTAAGATACAAAACTTTCTATGCAAGTAATCTTCCACTGCACAACTCACAGTGCCCCCTAAGCCTATGCTGGCTTGGTCCCTGCCTCTTTACATGCTCTCTACTCATCATTGATGGTTGGATTTCAAAAAATATATATATATATACCATTTCCTTCACAAAGAGGTATATGTAAGGATTTGTTACAAAATTTCTACGTCACTCTTAACACAAAAAGAACTAAAACATGGAGGAGGCTGTGGTGGTATGTGTGGAGCAAGAGGTAGCAGAGGAATTACAATGAACAGTGTCACTGCTGTGGGTGCCCCTTTGGTGTGAATGCAATTGCTTGGATTGCTTCATTCTGTCATCGCTATGGCTGCTCATATATTCCGGCTGAATGCAATTGCTTGCATTGTAGCATTTGTGGTATAGAAGCCGGTGCCTGTGACGGGGGTAGTGCTGGTGTTGCCACTGCTGTGTATTCTGGTGGTGGAATCCATATTCCTCCCACCACCACAAACTGGGGTGCTTGTGGGTGGTTGTGAATTGAAGGACTTGGTCTTCTTGTATGCAAACGAAATTTCTGCAACAAATTAAGAATAGCCTTTTATACCGTTGCTTATTTGAAATCATCAGTCATGTTTTGATTATAAGAGAATTGATGATGTAATTCATCAATATGAATAAAAGAAACTCTGGGCTGCCATTAATTGCATGATCAACTCATTTACCAGAGACCAAAACGAAATTCTTAAAAAAGAATTTTTGATTTTCAATTGAAATTAATAAACTCTTACCCGAAAATAGTAATGCTATCTAATTGATAAAGGATAAATATTTATTTCAAGAAAAGAAAAAAAAAAAAAAAAAGAAGAAAAAGAAAAAGAAAAAAGGTCAGGATAATGCTCACTCTCAATGTTAGTATTGCTATAAATAAAAAAAATGAAATGAAATAAAATGAGGGAACAAATAAATGACAATGACATATTATTATTTTTGGTACATTTAATTAAATCTTATACCATATACCAAATATTATTATTTGGTATATATATATATATATATATCCAGTAAAATTCTATACTCATCATATATACCAACCTGTAAATGGCTTTTCACTTCATCACTAGTAAGTCCATCAACCTTCATTAATTCCCTAATTTGCTTTGGCGTAGCAACTACATTGATCAAAACATAGTATCAATAAAATTCAAAATTTAAAATCAATTACATTGAACTAAACCTAAATTTTGATCCTATAATCAATCAGATGATACAAACCTTGAGAACCACCAAGCTGTTGAAGAGCATGTAAGAATCGCCTATGCAACTCCGGCAACCAACGCCTACGCCTTGCCTTCTTTTGAGAGTGTCCCCCTTTCTCTTCTCTTCTAGTTTCATCACCACTACCACCATCACTGCCACGGCCTCTTTCTGCGCTTGACATTGCAGAAGAAGGTGAACTACCCATTAATTCTGGGGCTATCCCAGAACTTTTTTCGGCACCATCACCACCACCACCACCATTTCTCTGAACCTCCGTGACTAATACCTTTCTTGATGAGTCCTGGACCACCAAAACTTCAAACTTTTAACCATATAAACCAAAACATATACCAAATAGATGACCAATAAGTTATTTGATTATAATGCATATTATGTACAATTTTTGAGTAATGATAGGTAGTTCAGCGGTCAGAAAAATTCAATTAATTTTATGTGAATAGGGCTGATTTCATCGTCACATCAGGACTATTAAATGAATCCGGATCGGAGTTGTCCGACTGCTAATGTACCTCTTTGGTGGTTGGATTTGGTGTTTGATCCCACAGTTGAACAGATTGAAGCCAGTCAGATTTCGTCAAGGAATTGTCACTAATCTTCTTATTATCTCTGTTTTTGTTGCTACAATTACCATCAATATTATTGGGTTGGTGAGATTTTTCATCCTCTTCATCTTCATCACAAGATATGGTCTTCTTTATAGGAATGAACTCTTCCAAAACAGGCCCATCATCAGTTGATGTTTGTTCAGAACATTCAGAATGTTGCCCGGACTCCGTAGTCGTCCCAGCCAACTGCTGCCTGCACGCACCAATCGCTGAAATCACAACCATGCCATGCCATGAGCAGCTAGCAATTAATCTAGAGAAAGAATCTCCAAAAGGATTGATGGGTATGTGAATGAATATGTGCTTATATAATTATTACCTTGAGTTACAAGCTCTAAACACAGAGGAAGCTCGCGTTCGAAGACCTGAATCTTGCGACGCTCTTCTTCAAGAGCTTCAATATATTCACGGCATTTTTGCATTCTCTCATCTGTATGATTGTTGTTCATGGTTGATCTCTCTGACTCTGATAAAAGGTTTGAGAGACTTGAGAATATTGTAAAAATGTTTGGAGGAGGAAGGAGAGATTAAATTGAGAGGTTTTGTCTCTAACATAGAGAGATCGGAGAGAGGACAGGGTCGCAAAAGCATAAAGGAATCACAAAAAGAATAAACTTGGGATACAAGTAAAAAACCGTGTTTCGAGAGAGAGACAGTAAGGGTTAGACGGGCTTGGAAGATATCGGGCCGTCGCATATAAAACGAATCTTTGATCGGTTTTGAGAGAGAGAGAGAGAGAGGGAGAGAGAGAGAGAGAGAGAAAAAAAAAAAAAAATACTTGTTTGAATATTTTTTTCAGGTATCTACTAATGTAGTAAACGGCCAATAAAGACCTCTCCAATTCTCCATTCTGTTAATAATAAAAAATAATAATTCACCATTTGCGGAGGATTAGATCCTGGCACCTTGTCTGTGTGTGAGAGTAGGAGAGAGAGACAGAGGTTCAACTGAATATTCGAGGGTGAGATTCCTCGTTGCTTGCATGTGGGCTGGCAGTGACTACAACCACTAAAAAGTGACAAAATCAAAGGCCCCTCTTTCGTCATATATATTGTTTGTGAGTATATACTATTGCGCGCTCTGCCCCACTCTCTCTCTCTCTCTCTCTCTCTCAAAGTTTAGTATTATTCAACTCTCTCAATGGATTAGTCCGAGCTGCGCTATGCATGGACGAGCTCAACTCTTCGAATTATGTGAATTCCATCGTGGACTCACATAATTTAAGGGTCGAGCTAGTTGGGATGTGTCTGCACTAAACATTTTTTATTTGAATATTTTTTTAAAAAAATATTAGATACTTGAGATATCAATAATATAGTATTCTTGGGCATTCATCATTATTATCAAAAAATATTAGATACTTGAGATATCAATAATATAGTATTCTTGGGCATTCATCATTATTATCTTTGCCATATTTTTATATGCATGGGGTTGCATAAATTTTATGTCTCCATTCTTTTCTACTATTCATTGTTGTAGCGAAAACGCAAAAAAACAACATTATTTGAGGAATAAAACACAAACAATCACGAAATATAAAAACAACAATCACATACAAGAACACATGATATATATGGTCCACCCAAAGATTAGGGCTACGCACCGAATAACTTCCACTATTAAAAAGATGAAGAATTACAATAGTGATGGGTTTCGTCAACTATTAATAATAATCAACCCTTTGCAATAGCACAAATTATTATAAAATAGGGCTATTGGACAGGTAAGTCGAACCACTGGGATTGTTAGTTTATGGCAACCAATATCTTTAAATTCACTTTTAGTTTGATGAAAGGGGTATAGAGTTTTGTTTGGTTTGTCACTTGATACTTGGAATTAAATTGTGCATTAAACAATAAAGTGAAGGAAATTAAAAGGAAAGAAACTTAAGTAGAGAGGATTAGGGAAGTGAATCCACTACCTACCCTATAAACATGCTAGATTATGATTAACTTGGGGAGACAACATATATATGTGACCATGGAATGCAACAACACAAGATTGCTACATTACCTTCAAAAAATTTATGAAATCAATAGGCAAGAATAATCCATCAAAGCTTTACATGCTTGAACTACCTAAACTAAGGTGTAGCCTTAGACATGCTCACTAAGCTAGAGATTATCAAACCCTCAATCCAATGATAAAAGCACATAAAATCAAGAATCAAGATTAATCCATCAAAGGGAGGTCCTAAGTTATGGACTAACAAATTTCTCATAAAACATGCCATTAAAACCATTTCACAATCTCATTTTCATTGTCACCATGAAAATGCAAGCCATACAACCATGAGAACATACAATCTAAGAGAAGATAATAGATTCAACATGATCATTTACATAAAATTAGGTTCATTACATCAAAATGAGTACTTTATTTTGTAAAACTACCACATATATACATCATTCCCCAAAATAAAATCAAAACTAGAGCATGCTTACAAGATAGGGCTTCATTACCTCCCTAGAAAGGGAGTTAGTTACCCATAGGAACAAGGAATGAAGGGGTTGAGATGCTCGTCCTCTCCATTTTTGTGCTTAGAGCAAGCTCCAACCCAAAACCCCTCTAGAACAATATTTCTCTCTCTAGAAATATCCTATAATGTGAGATATATCTTTTACAAAGTCTCAAGCCCCTAATATCAACCTTAGCCTTCCATCTGCTCCAAATTCGTGGTCCTAAAGCCCTCAGAAATTTTCAGAGCACTCTCTTAGTTAAAGGGATAACATTAGGTAAAGATGAGGGAGCCCATGCTTGTTTGTCTGTAGAATGGCGGGCGCCCGCGGCTTCACTAGGCTATTGGCCATTTTGGGGGGTGCCCGCGGCTTGTCATGGAGGAGCGCCGCGCAACAGGCAGGCGCTCGTGGACTGAGGGCAGGCGCCTGCGATTTTTCAATGATTCTGGTCATTTTGGCAGGCGCCCGCGAGTGCTTTTGGGCTATGCACTTCATCTTGAACAGCTCATTCCTTGGCCCGATGAAGCGATTCTTCATCCTAGAACCTTTTACACAGAGCGTCATGAGTCCCATGGATCATTAATCTTAGCCAAAACAAAGGCCCCTGACAACGGCGTACTTTGATCTTCAAAAACATATCAAAGCGTCACTTTTAACTTTTTTTGGGGAACCAACCTGAAAATAAACAAAAGTATGCAAATAAAGCTATATATACAGTATAATCAACTAATGGACTTAACTAATGCAAATAAGAGCACTTGAAAATGCAATATTCGGTGCTTATCACACCCCCAAACTTACATTTTGCTAGTCCCATAACAAAACCAAAAATGAAACTCTTAACAAAATGACACATTTGAAATGCGATCAACATGCAACAACTATGGCACAAGAAAATAGACACACAGCTCAAATGCAACTTGGAACAGAAAAAATATTGGAGACGGAATCATTTTGCAGACTACCTTGTGTATATGAAGCCTTGATATACAAAATGGCTAAACATATTTCAATTCTCATGCATCAACGTCATAGTCTATATAAATACTTCAATTGCCATCTCTTTAATAGAAATCAACTCTAACTTCAATGAAAGCGAACCGGATTCCCAATATGTGGCTTTTACTTTCTTTTTCCAATTTCAAAACACAAGCTTCAAATCATTAAATTTCCCTTTTGAATGAGGTCTCTGAGCCATGAATTTATTCAAAATATAACTTTTGTTGCTTGTTTTTTATTATTATTATTTTTTATGATACATATTATGGTCGTGCAATGCCGAAGTCCCTTAAGTTTTCTAACCAACCCATGTAGCAAGTGTTAGGCCAGCAATTCCCAAACCAGATGGCTTTAGGGTGCTAAGTGTAAAGACACTCCTAGGGCTTAATAACTTGAATTGGAAAGGCTACAAACTCCAACAAACCATATTTATTTATTTTTATTTTTGTGAATGACCGTGCAATGCCTAAGTCCCTTAAGCTTTCTAACTAACTCATGTAGCAAGTGTTAGGCCAACAACTCCCAAACCGAATGGCTTTAGGTTGCTAAGTGTAAAGACACTCTAAGGGCTTAATAACTCGAGTCAACAATGTTACGAACTTAAACTAGTCATTATCCTCATTCATTTTTCATCATTCATTTTTTTTTTTTTTTTTTTAGATTCAATGCCAAAGATATCCATTCATTAGGGTCATCAATTCAAATTAACTGAGTCAAGGTCAAGGTCAATCAAGTTACATGCCTCACAATGAAGTTTCTGATTTGCATCTGTGCAGTGTGAAGCATAGAAGAGTATGAAATCCGATGAAAATCTAATTGAAACATTTATACAAACCGGTTTGAATCAACACGATCATTTCAGATTTTTCTTTATTTTTAAAATTATCATTTGCTTCTATACACAAAGTATTAAATACATGCTTCAATCTCCAACAATTCCAAGATTACTCTATCATTTCTTCCCAAAAAAATGGTTTTACAAAAATGTAATACCAAAAATGCAATAATGTACCTTCAAACTTGAATGTCACATTGTCCTCAATGTAAGAAGACAAAAAATGGAATTGGAATTGAAAAAGGAGGGTACAAGAGCAATAATACCAAGTGGAGGAAAAATTAATGGCGGTGTAAACAGACCACCATGTGAATTCCAAAAGTGGCGCCCCCAAACTTGGTTCGAAAAACCTGTCAAGACACACCGATGCACAACAAGCATCATATAAATCTAGACAGAGAAAAAAAAAATAAACAACTGCAATTTATTTAACTAAAAACAAAGTGTTCATGCAAAATAGCAACACCATTGCAGTTATGAGTTCAAAAGACGAACTAAAAGTAAATGCCAAAAGTGGCCCAAAATAAATCCAAATAGTACTACTAGAAGCAAAATAGATATGGAAAGCATAAAATCACTCCATCGGAGCGGATGATGAACCATCGGTGTCGCCTGGAGCACGGTCAATAAGAGTCTGGAGCATGGTCTGCAAGACTTGCTGTCCATCTTGAGTCTGCTTGACATAGCGCTCGATGTTCCGGACTCGCATGTGAAGTGCATCAATACGAGCATTGAGAGAGACATAATTGGCATAGGACTTAGCAAGCGGAGGCGGCGCAACAGGAGCAGCTGGAAGGGCAGCCGAAGCAGGAGCAACAGGGACAGCTGGAGCTCTCCAATCAAGCACATCACCAATGCGGGCTTGACGAGACGTCTTAAGCTGGACAATGCTAGACTTCCAAACCCCAAGGTCAAAATTAAACACATCCGTCAGCTTCTCCTCATGACGGGGTGGCCGGAACCCTTGGTTCTTCAAGAGCCTGGTGACAAGATATGGGAATGGAAATGCCCAAGTGATGGCATTGCTCATCTACAGCACAATTAGGTCATTGTAGACCTTAAGAAATTGTTCCCAAACAAGCTGCGGGATAGAAAACCAATGCCCCTTCTCCACCTCACGGAGGGAGCTCAGAAAAGCCTTTTTTGCTTTCAGAATGCTTAAGGACGGGGAGGACATTTTTGGCCAAGACGGAGTCCACGAACCAGAGTCGGTACGGAAGGAATGATTTATTTGTGCTTGTGGTTCGAGTGCCGGTATACTGGTTGTGGCAAATTTCCTCCACAATGTCTGCTAAATTCAGATTAACCGGAGGCTCAACGTATAGAGGCAGGCCCGCCTCATCCACCCGGGACTCCAATGGACATGCCAAAGCCATGGCAAGGTCATGAATGTTGAATTCAAAAATGGTGCCATCAATAGTAGTCTTAATGATGTCCGGGTCTGCACATGTATAAAACATGTTTGAGAAGAATTGGCGGACTATGCACGGATAGTACGAGGTAGCACATGGCTTGAATAGAGATTAGAGGCCACGGTCCATCAATTCTTTGACCGCCCACGCCGTTTCTAGATGGTCTTTGAAGCTGTCTTTA